AGGCGGGCTGGCGGGGGGGCTTGAGCGGCCCTGGCGCCCTCCCGGTGGCTTTGGGCTTCGGAACGCTCGGGGGAAGTGTTCGGTGCAAGTGCGTCTGCTTTTAGGAAATAAGCAGGATTAATAGGGCGTAATAAAGATCTTTTACTCATCTCTACCGAGGGCAGATTGTTATATGTAGACTAAACACTCTAGTCTTTCTTAATAGATAAAAGGATAACAGTATTTCTCTAGAGAGTGATTTGAAGGATTTCAAGGAGATTTTTGGCCTTGCTTTTTAAGCATCATGGAGAGCAAAAATGTGGTTTCAGCCTTCCCTCTAGTAATGCCTCCCTTTGTTGTCAAAAGGGAGTGCAGGCAGTCTGGTCTCCCTCAGCTGAAGCTCGCTTCTCTGAATTGCTCTCATGTCTCTGTAGGATTTGTAAAAATGACCTCCATGCTGATATATTTTTCCAAAGTCACATAAGAACTTTTGAAACTTGCCTCACATTATTTTCTGCAAGCACTGGAGGCTGCAGACCATGTGGGAAAAGGAGAGCATCTTTCTGAAGAGCTACAGCCAAAATAGTCAAGTAGAATGGTTATCCCTGGACTTCTGCTCTTCTCCATGGAGAAACGTTCTTTCTCCAGGGGCCTTTCTTTTAGACTGTGTGTAGTACTTTGATATACACTAGTCTGTGTTTGATCACAATTAAAGATTGATACCTGAGGGAGCAGCTGTTTTTATTTTGGTGTATAATAACATTTTCTGCCTTTTCTTATGTAAGAGTGCTCTATTATTCTGAAAGTAACTGTTTTCTTACAGGATTAAGTGGACGATTTATCATAACAGCTCTTCCTACCATCTATCAGTAAGTATGCGAGGCAGCAGGATTTTTTGGAGGGAAGAGAACTTTTTTTTCCTTTTTTGGGGGGCAAATGAATGAGATCTACCATGCTTTTTAAGAATGTGAGGTAGTTTATGCAGAGACAACCACTGTCTTACTCGCTGTGACCTTACAGTACTGCCAGTTGATTTTTTTTTTTCTTTTCCCTTCAGGCCTTATTTATTTGCCTTTTCATGGGTGTTTCTCTTTTGCAATCTTTTCTCCGTAGGTTGATCTTAATGCAGTTGTGTGGCAAGTGTATTAGGAAGATAATTATCTTTTTATGGAATTGTAACCTAAAGCTAGCCAAGATAATGTGGAGTCAAGATTCTGGAAATACTTGTAGTCAAGACTTTTGGGAAATATTTTAGAGCCAATAGTATCTAAAGCAAAGTAAAATTAAAAAAAAAAAAGCATGGTGATGGGAGGGAAGATGTTGAGTGGAAGCAAATGCTGCATGCTTGAACTGTCTAAAATAAAGAACTTTGTTTTACAGCTGTAAAGATGGAGAGTTCAGGAGATACCAGGGTGCAAGAACTAAAACTGATTTCATAAATTTCATCAGTGACCAGGAATGGAAATCTATTGAACCGGTTTCATCATGGTTTGGTCCTTCCTCTTTCCTGTAAGTTTTGGTATGATTTTTGTAATAATTTTTTGTCAAACATGCACACTTTAAGGACATGCTGGGACAGGTCCTTAGGTGTGCCAGACCTGTTGCTGCCTCCTTGTTAACAGCTCATGCGCAGCTCTGTGCTGGTAAGAAGTAGGTGCATGGATTGGCGGGTGATCACCCCTCCTTCATCAGCTGTGGGGTGTTGTGTGCACGAACATACCAGAGGTGTCCTGAGCAAGATTTACTTTAAGGCTTCAAATAGTTATAAGTGGCTGAATTGTTTTACTAACCTCTTACAGGTAACTTGCTGACACCTCTTTTGTCTATATGGCGAGTTCTTCTCTTGTTTATATAGCAGGAAGATGTTTTGCCCAGCTAAATTCTAGGAAATTAGCAATAAAAAAATGGAAAATAATGTAGCAACATAGTTGTAAGGTACTTCTTTGAGAAGACATATCTGTGGCAAAGCTAAAAGCAGAGTGGAAGGGTGAAGGTTCCTTTGTTGAAGGAAAAGTGAATTGGGGAGACTGTAGTCTGAGAAGAAACACACTCTTTGGAATACTTTCTTGTTTTGTGGCTTTGAAGTGCTTTTAGTTGTTGCTGCATGTGCTCTGTGGTGGTTTCAGAGTAGTTGAGTGATAAAGCATGTTGGGGACACCATTGGTTGAGGGGCATGAACCCAGTTGTTGCTGTTTTTTCTTCTGTTAGAGCATGGATGGCTGAAACACCCCTGTGCTGACTCTACTGTGCTGTAGCAGTTTAGTTTATGAAGTGTTATGCTAGACCGAAATTCTACATTTTTTGTGGCACTTCTAGGAAGCTCAGCATTGTTACTTTGTCTACTCGCAATGCTCTTTGAATCCTCAAATCGTGTGGTTAATCTCCTACAAAGTATTAGTCCACACCAAGGAATGTGTGAAACGGTGCTAATTTAGGATTAATAAGTTTTCTATTAGAAGTGTACAGTACCAGCTCAATTTTTTGTGCGTACTGAAACAGTATGCAGGCTGCTTCTACAGCTCCCTCATTAGCAACTTACATTGGCTTAATGTTTCAAATTCTCCTTTCCTTTACAGATAGTGAATACTTAATGCTGAAGTTTCACAATAACAGGGAAATGTCAGAGTCGGCAGGGTATACATTGCAAATAACCTTGTCTTTTTAGCTTGTATGTAAATATGGCTAAATGTAAATGTCTGAAGTTCTCTGTTCTTATAACCTGATTTTTTAAAATGGGTTAATTTTTTCTTTTAATAAAATGTTTAGATGCTTAATTCTTAATATCTTGAGTAGAGAATCCAGCTGGCTCCTCATAGACTATTGATCCAAATATAACTTAGAACATAGACTGAAATTCATGTGTCAGCAGATCCAAGTCAAGGAAGCTTGTGAATTTGTAGTTGTCCATATGAGGAATGTTATACAAGCTGATGTTGATACTGAAGGTAGCTTCATGAGAAATGAATGTTTATTGAAGTACAAGACAAAAGAGAAGTTAAAAATCGAAGTAGTTAGAAGGAAAACCAGAAATGAGCAGAAAGTTGTTCAACATGGGGCTAAATGATGACCAGTCAGGCAAATCAGAAGATACAGGTATGTGACTAGCTTAAGCATGTTTTCAGTTACTTTTTTTCTGCTTTGTTTCAGGATGAGCAGTATGTCAGCTTTGTTTCAGTTGTCAATGTGGATCAGGGTATGTGCTTAGATCTCTATTTTATCTTAACAGACATGATATTCACTCGCTCATGAAATGATTCTCTTTGTCTTTTATTCCAGCATTGCCATGGTTATTTAACAGAAAATGTTGGAATACCAGTTTGGGGCTCATATGCTCTTTTTGGTTTGGCGACTCTATTCTCGGGACTGATACTGGGACTTGTAAGTGAAGCACTTGAAACAGATTGGCCTGTGACTACTGTGTATTACACTAATGCTGCCTTTGCCTCAGTCTTTAATGTAAGGGCAGTTGTTCTCTGGGTACCCAGCCCCCTGAGCTGGAAGACGGGAAGCAGAATGAAGCCCCCATAATCCAAGGGGAAATGGTTTGTGGCTTGCTACACCACCTAGACACCCACGAGTCTATGGGGCCGGATAGGATCCACTTGAGGGTACTGAGGGGGCTGGCAGAGGTGCCCCCCCAGCCACTTTCCATCATTTATCAGCAGTCCTGGCTAACCGGGGAGGTCCCAGTTGACTGGAGGTTGGCAAATGTGACACCCATCTACAGGAAGGGTGGGAAGGAGTATCTGAGGAACTACAGGGCTGTCAGCCTGACCTTGGTGCTGGGGAAGGTTGTGGAGCAGATCATCTTGAGTGCCATGATGTGGCACGTACAGGACAACCAGGTGATCAGGCCCAGTCAGCAGGGGTTTATGAAAGGCAGGTCCTGCTTGGCTAGCCTGATCTCCTTTTGTGACAAGGTGACCTGCTCAGTGGGTGAGGGAAAGGCTGTGGATGTGTCATGGTTTAACCCCAGCAGCAGTTAAGCCCCACCCAGCCACTTGCTCACTCTCCTGCCAGTGGGATGGGGGAGAGTATCGAAAGGGCAAAAGTGAGAAAACTCATGGGTTAAGATTAAGGCAGTTTAATAGGTAAAGCAAAAGCCATACATACAAGCAAAGCAAAGGAATTCATTCCTCACTTCCCATGGGCAGGCTGGTGTTCAGCCATCTCCAGGAAAGCAGGGCTCGATCATGCATAACAGTTACTTGAGAACACAGATGCCATCACTCTGAACATCCACCCCCCTTCCTTCTTCCTCAGCTGTATATACTGAGCATGACATTATATGGTATGGGATATCCATTGGGTCAGTTGGGGTCAGCAGTCCTGGCTGTGTGCCCTCCCAACTACTTGTGCCCCCTCAGCCTCCTTGTGGGTGGGGTGAGGTGAGAGGCAGAAAAGGCCTTGGCTCTGTGTGAGCCCTGCTCAACAGGAACTAAAACATCCCTGGGTTATCAACGCTGTTCTTGGCACAAGTCCAAACTGTAGCTGTTCTTGGCACAAGTCCAAACTGTAGCGCCCTACCAGCTACTGTGAAGAAAATTAACTCTGTCCCAACCAAAACTGGCACAGGATATTGTCTACCTAGACTTTAGTAAAGCCTTTGACATTGTTTCCTACAGCATTCTCCTGGAGAAACTGGCTGCTCATGGCTTGGACGGGTATATTCTTCTCTGGGTAAAAAAAAAAAGTCAGGATGGCCAGGCCCAAAGAGTGGTGGTTAATGGAGTTAAATCCAGTTGGTGGCCAGTCACAAGTGGTGTTCCTCAGGGCTTGGTATTGGGGCCGGTTCTGTTCAATATCTTTATCAATGTTGTGGACGGGGGGATCGAGTGCACCCTCAGTCAGTTTGCAGATGACACTGAGCTGGGTGGGAGTGTTGATCTGCTGGAGGACAGGAAGGCTCTAGAGAGGGGTCTGGACAGGCTGGATCGATGAGCCGAGGCCAAGTATATGAGGTTCAACAAGGCTCAGGGCCGGG